CAGGGGAAGGATACTGCAAAATCCCCATTCCCTCCCCACTCCAGGGGAAGGATACTGCAAAATCCCCATTCCCTCCCCACTCCAGGGGTGGTATTTACTGATTCTCCAAACAAATCAAAATTTCGGCTACCGCTTCTCCAGAACTCATCAGAACCTGCCGAATACCACCTCTGGCGTGCACGTGCTCACCTTTGCAAACCAGTGGCAAACTTCTGTGAATCCCACCGCTGGGTACATCTCTTTGTAAAACAACCACACACGAGGAGGGGCTTTGCATCTTTTACCCAAAGAGAATTTGAGGGCATTTTCTAAATTTACCAAAAGATAGAACAAACGAAAGACACCAGGCAACGAGGACAGCCAACTTCTCCCCAATTTATCTCTCTCTCTCTCTCCCTCCCTCCCTCTCCCTCCCCCCTCTCTCTCTTGCTTCTAGAACACTCTGGAAAAGTTCTGGAAAAGGGATGAAGGAAGTTGACCATCAGCAGAGAGAATCAAAATACAGTATGGAAATGAACCTTCATCTCGGGGGTTGTCACTGGGGTGGAAGCAGTGGTGGGTTCCTACCGGTTTGGACCGGTTCGGCTAAACTGGTAATGGTTTGGCAACCTGGGTTGCTGGAACCGGCAGTGACCCAGGCCTGCCACACCCCCAAACTGGTTTTTTGGGCACCGCCGTACGCAGCACCATCTTGTTTTTCAGTTCTGCACATGTTCAGAGTAATTTTAATCGCACTGTGCATGCCCGCGCAGTGCATATCAAGCACGTGTGCGCAAAATGTGCACACACATGAGCGAACCGGCAGGAGTGCCTACCGGAACCCACCCATGGGTGGAAGGAAGGATCCCTAGTCGCCAGTGATGGCCAGGAAGCCTTTTCCTTATCAGCAGGCTTCCTGCGCAGAGGCAATGCTTTTGCACATTTAATGAGAAGGATGGCTGGCATTGGTCCTACTGGTTTTGGGGCACTGGACTGAGCATCTCTCTCTGTCCCACTTTTCCGCTCAGAGCCCCTCCATCAAAACCCTGGGATGAACCGGCTGAAGGCACCAGAGCAGCAGCCCCGGGCCCTCCCGGTGAGTGCTGGCCTCTCCACCGCCGCCCTGCTCTCCTCCGCCCTGCTAGGGGCTGCCTCGCTCTCCCCCCAGCGCGATTACAGCTTCTCCTTCTGGCAAGAGATCCCGGAGGTGAAAAGCAGAGGGCTGCTGGAGGGCCTCCCGTCGCAGCAGCGCCACCTTCAGGAGGTACCCGAGAAAGGCATACCGTGGGGAAGGGAGGGCACAGGCAGCAGCAATGGTGTCTCTGAGGGTTGCAGGAAGGGGGCAAAATCTAGACCTGTGATGGCAAACCTATGGCATGCATGCCAGAGGTGGCGCGCAGAGCCCTCTCTGTTGGCATGTGTGGCATTGCCAGCTGCTCTTCTGGTTTCCAGCACATACATGTGCCCCGGCCAGCTGGTCTTCACAGGCACTGGAGCGCCAGAAAACTGCCTAAAAATGGCTCAAAAAATGCCCCCAAAACAGGCAGTTTTCCAGGCTGTTTTCTGAGCTATTTTGGTGTTTTTGGGGGGCCATTTTCCAGCCGTTTTTTGAGCCAAAAAGGTGTCACACATGCATTGCATTATGGGTGCACGAACATGTGCATGTGCTTTTGGCATGCCAAAAGCCATCACTGCTCTAGGGAATCTAATCCCTCCCTGCAGCCTTGATTTGACAAGCACCATAGGAACGATCTGTGGGTTTGGCAACATTCGTTTCCGCTCCCAGCAACCCATCTGCTTTTGTCTCCGTTGGCAGGCTATGTTTGAGGTGATCACTTCCGAGGCCTCCTACCTGCGCAGCCTGCGGGTGGCCGTCTTCCACTTCCAGCTGTCTCCCGCCTTGCGTGGGGCTGTCACGGCAGCCCAAGTACAGCAGCTCTTTTCCAATCTCTCGCAAGTCAAGGATACCAGTGAGAGGTAAGGTGGCCCTCGTTTCCCCTCCCTCTTCTGCTCCTCTTCATTAACCCGCCAAGGACTTTGGAAGCCTCCCAGGACAATCACCTGCAGGGCATCCAACATGCTCCTCTTCCTCCTCCTCCTCCTTTCTGCCCCCTGCAGGTTTCTGCTGCAGTTGGAGGATCATCTGGATCAGGACGTCTTCTTGCCGGGTCTCGGGGAAGTGGTCCTGAAAAACTGCCCTGCTTTCCACCGGGCTTACGTTCCCTACGTCACCAACCAGATGTATCAGGAGCAGCTCATGCAACGGCTGATGTGAGGAGCGGAGGGGATGCAGGGGGGCAGCTGGGCTGACGGAAGAGTTGGGGGTCGCCAGCTGCAAGGGACCACTCCATCGGTGGCCCACTGCTCTAGGCCAGGGGTCAGCAATCTGTGGCTCTGGAGCCGCATGTGGCTCTTTTCATCCCTCTGCTGCGGCCCCCTGTTGATGGTCGGTGCCACAATTTTGAGGGGAGTTCCTGGTGGGAGGGGGAAAGTGCCAGGAGAAGACTCTATGGTAAGGGGTGGGTTTCCAGATTGGCTCCATAATTGACAGGGCTTTCGGTTAGGACAAGTAGAGGAAAAAGGACACCTCGCTAGGAGGAGACTCTATGGTGGGGGAACCAGACATCCAGTTGGCAGAGGAAAAAGGATACTGTGCTAGGAGGAGACTCTATGGTCGGGGAACCAGACTTCCAGTCAGCTCCAGAATTTCAACGGGGGGCTTCCAGTTAGGACCTTTGTGGCGCTTTGAGTGTTCAAGGCTGCTGACCCCTGCTCTAGGCAAAGCATGCCCTTGTCTGGTTCCACAGATTCACGTGGGATATTAGTCCAGATGGGCTCAAGAGAGCCCATCTTACCTCCCCACTCTACGTTCACCTTAGGCCTAGCTTTCCTCAGCTCCGATCAATTGGGGTCTGCATTAGTGCCCTTGGGGCCTCCTGAAAACTTTTCTTTGTTCCCTCCACCAAGCTAGGAAGGGGAACAGCCGCTTCCTGCAGGTCCTGCGCACGCTGGAGGAGCAGCCCGTCTGCCAGAGGCAGCCCTTGAAAGCATTCCTGGTGTTGCCCTTCCAGAGAATCACTCGGCTCAAAATCCTACTACAGGTGGGGAGGGGAGGGATGTTTATTCCACTTACTACTGTGTTTCCCCAAGAATATGACCTACCCCAGAAGTCCTAACTTGATTTTTAGATGTGCGCCCAATATAAGACCTATCCCCCAAATAAGATCCCGCCCACTCCAGGTGCACAGGTAAAAATTAAGGTAGAGGTGGAGCTGCCTTACTACTTACTTTTAGTTGCCGCCAGACCTTGTACATCCCGACACCTGCTGTCAGGGTTCCGACGGATGCCCTAATTAAATGACATTTCCAAGTGAAGCCAGTTCTGATCCCACGTAATTTGCGGCCCCAATCATGACCATTTGCCCCAGTGGTGGGTTTCAAAAAATTTTCGAACCTACTCTGTGGGTGTGGCCTCCTTTGTGGGAGTGGCTTGCCGCCCATGTGTTCTCTCTCTCTCTCTCTCTCTCCCTCCCTCCTTCCTTTTGTCTCTCTGTCCTTTTTCCTTTTTTTCTTTCATCTCTCTCTCACTTTTCTTTCTTTTTTTCTTTATTTGTTTCTTCCTTTCTTTCTCTGTGTGAGTGTGTGTGTGTGTGTGTGTGTGTGTGTGTGTCAGTGGTGGGTTTCAAAAATGTTTGGAACCCCTTCTGTAGGTGTGGCTTGCTTTCTGGGTCTACTGGTGGAACCTCTTCTAACCGGTTTGGTAGATTTGACGTACCGGTTCTACTGAACTGTTGCGAACTGGTAGGAACCCACCTCTGATTTGCCCCCTGTTGGGGTGGGGGTGGGGGGGCGAAGAGAACCAGGTTACTTGTTTGACATGCCTGTGGTTTTCTCTCCCTCCCTGTCAGAACATCCTGAAATGGGCTGGACCCGATTCCGAGCTGGCAAAATCGGTGGGCTTGGCCCATGAGGCCGTGGGGGAGGTAAGTGCTGCCAGGGGGGGGGGGGGAGACCCTTCCTAATTTGCATTTCCTGGCTCCTTCCTTCCATTTGTCCTTCCTGGCTGTCAGGCTCCTCCGCTTTGGCCAAGGATGGCTCTTTCCGCGCAAGACAAACCTCTTGTCCTGCCTTTTCTCAGATCGTGTCCCAATGCAACAGGAACGTCCAAGCAATGGAACAGAAAGAGGAGCTGGTGATGCTGGAAAAACGGATGGACTTCTCCAAGACCAAAGTAAGTTGACCTTTCACGCACGTGAAAAGTTATCACGGATTACCATCATCGTTATAATTGTGGATATAAATACCGCGATCCACCGTAAGGGCTACAACATCCTGTTTTCCTTAAGGGTTTGAAAGAAATTGCAGTTGCTCCTAGATCATCGATGAAACTGCTTGGATAAAAATACTGTTGGGGTTGCGACAAATTAATAGGCAGTACAAGCAGGAGTGGAATTCGACTGGCTCGGACTGGTTTTGGCGAACCGGTAGGGACGATTTGAATCAGTTCACCGAACCACTTAAAACACCCCTGGTTGACCCCACCCAGGCCCGCCCAGTCACCTGCTCACCTGGTTGCCACTCACCCCTTCTGGCTACTCACTTGCCCCTTCCAGACATTCGCCCCGCCCTCCCACTCCTGCCCTATATATGTTGCCTTCACCACGTCGTCCAGCTAATCACCTCACCCGTTCAGCTCACCAAAGGTAAGCAATGCCTGCCACCCACTCGTCCTTTGCTTTGGGTTGGGGCCTGGGGCCCAGGGATGCACCATTCCCTGAGGCCCCAGAGCCGCCACCTGCCTCAACCGGATCAGCTTCTCTCTGCCGCAGTGTAGCATTTAGGGTCCCGAGGCTGAAGATGGAAGAAATAATCCAATCCACGGATAGCTGAACTAACAGAAGTTTATTGAGCAACCAGAATTGACATGAGAATCAACAGCAGAATCAACAGCAAAATTATTAATCATGAAACATCATTCTTATTGTGTTTGCAGCTTCTTAGCTCTACCTACTTTACGTGTTATATCATTATTGGCTAACAAATCTCCAAGGCACAATAATTGGTTAGTCCTTACATCATTGGTATACGTGAGAACGTTCACGTTGTTATAGCTGAATAAATCAAGTGTTATCAAATGAGTGAATAAAATGTTGCAGGTTCATTACTTTGTTTCATCCCGTGTCCTCAAACCATGCCTGGGAACACTGCAAGCAAAGAATAGCTGACAGGCAAATATTTTCTGCAGATTGCTGCAGTTTTTGCTTACACGTGTAACCTCAGTTCCAAGGACCATTCAGATGATTCACTGTAAAAACCCTACATTTCCTCGCTTTTTGTTTTTAATGACGAAAAAAGAGATTTTTCAAGAGCATGCATTTGAATCACATTCAAAGTAGGTGCAGGAGACTTGCGAAACATGGCAAAAAAATGAAGGAACACATTGCATACAGCAAC